CTGACAGAAAAAAATACCAAAAGACTAAGGTGGGAAGGACTTGGGCTGTAGTTCAGTGGTAAAGTGATGTGCTCACATGCTTGAAGCCCTAGGTCTAATACCCAGGATTACCACAAAGAGAGAGAGACAGACATAGACACAGTGACTAAGGCTGGGCATCTGCCCCCACAACAGTAGGAGAAGTTGAGGAAGGACATGAAGAAGTGGATGCTGAGTAAGAATAGTTCCATAATGGACAAGGTAGCAGGACTGGTGAGAGCCCGAGAGCTGATGATGAAACAGAAAATGAAGTGCTTCGATGCAGACAGCAGAGGTTTTGGGAGTCTGTCACATGCCACCCCTCTCCTCCTCTCTATTTCCTTGCAGGATTTTGACATCGCTGGCCAGTTTGATCCCATGATTCCTGATGCAGAGTGCCTGAAGATCATGTGTGAGATCCTGAGTTCACTTCAGATAGGCAACTTCCTGGTCAAGGTCAGAACTGGATGGGACTGGGCGGTCAAGGTAGGGCCTGGCCTCTCACAGGGAGAAGCCCTTGTGCAGAGGTGTCAGTAGCCCGTGTGGTAGAGACATTTGGGAATTGTGCAAAATAAGCAGACTCCTTCTTCCCTGTACCTTGTCCTCACAGGTAAATGACAGGCGCATCCTAGATGGAATGTTTGCTGTCTGTGGTGTTCCTGATAGCAAGTTCCGTACCATCTGCTCCTCAGTGGACAAACTAGATAAGGTAATAACCCAGACACCTGACTCTTTCTAGGAAATACTCTGTTTTAACAATGAGAAAATTTAGGAGGGAGAGGTAGCTGCCTCTGTGCCCACTGGAGAAGTTCTGGCTCCAGCATGTAGATTTTAGGGCAGCTTTGGTCTCAGGTTGCTTTTTGAAAAGGGTCCACACTTGTTCTGTGGTAGGGAAGCTATATAGTGGCTTCTGACTGTTGTTGTCTGCCCAGGTTTCCTGGGAGGAAGTAAAGAATGAGATGGTGGGAGAGAAGGGCCTTGCACCAGAAGTGGCTGATCGCATTGGGGACTATGTCCAGCAGCACGGTGAGAAAAAACCCAGCATCCGTATCACTCTGTGTGTGTGTGTGTGTGTGTACTCACATGAACATGTACTGCAGCCCAGACAAAATGCAGAGCTTCTGTTTTTTCTTGTCAGTCTGACCTACAGATTTGTTTCCCCAGGTGGGGTGTGTCTGGTAGAGCAGTTGCTCCAGGATCCTAAACTCTCTCAAAACAAACAGGCTGTGGAGGGCTTGGGAGACCTAAAGCTGCTGTTTGAATATCTAACCCTGTTTGGCATTGATGACAAGGTAATTAAGTTGCAGATAGGAGCCCTAGCTGACCTCTGTGACTTGGGGTCCCTGATTCTAATCTGGTACTAACCGTGACCTTATCTCCATAGATCTCCTTTGACCTGAGCCTTGCTCGAGGGCTGGACTACTATACTGGGGTCATCTATGAGGCAGTGCTGCTACAGATGCCAACCGAGGCTGGGGAAGAGCCCCTGGGTGTGGGCAGTGTGGCTGCTGGAGGGCGCTATGATGGGCTGGTGGGCATGTTTGACCCCAAAGGACGCAAAGTGCCATGCGTTGGGCTCAGTATTGGAGTAGAGCGGATCTTCTCCATTGTAGAGCAACGATTAGAGGTAAGTCCTGGGGGTGGGTAGAACACAGAAAGGCAGATGATGGTACCCAAGCTACCTTTCATCTCTTAGGGGCAGGTGCTGCTTTGGACAGGGAGCATCTTTGAGCAATGCAGAGGAGATGGTTGTTAGCCTTCAGAGAGTCTCACTCCTTTGTAGGCTGGTTTTGTGTATGTCTGTATATATGTTTTATGATACTGGAAATTAAACCTGGGCCTTGTGCATGCTAGGCAAGCACTGTTACCACTATGCTAATTTTCACAGGATCTCACTAAGTTGTCCAGGGTGACTTTGAACTCAGTGTGTAGCCCAGGTGGGCCTTGAATTCTCCTGGCTCAGCCTCTGAATAGCTGGGCTAGGTTGAGCCATTAGGCCTGGCTTCTAGAACAGTTTTGTGGATCTTTATTCTTTCTCCACTGGATCAGCGCTACCAGGAATCCAGGCTGGTGTATGTAAGATGCACATCTTCCTTGGGGTGGAATATTTAACATGACCGCCATGTGCCAGGCCTACATGCAGGGTGTGTTTTCAGCTAATATAGTTCTGACACAAAGCCACTAAGAGTGGCCTTTTGTTATTTTTGTTCTTCAGATAAGGAATAATTTGCTCAAGGTCATAACACTTGTAAGTAGGAGAGTCAGAGTGTGAATCCAGATCATCAAAACTCCTAAGTGTTACCGTTAACCACTCTAATGTTGTCTCAGAGGACAACATGTCCAAGGCCCTGGGCTTGCTCCAATAGCTGTTCTGATTCCCTGGGACCTAGAGTAACACCAAGGAAGCTCCCCTTTGTTGCTGATACTCTTTTGATTTTTTGAGACAGGGTTTCTTTATGTTGTAACAGTCCTGACTGTCCTGGAACTCATTCTGTAGACCAGGCTGGCCTCAAACTCAGATCCACCTGCCTTTGCCTCCAGAATGTTGGGATTAAAGGCATGCACTGCCTGGCTGTTGTTGGTATTTTTTTTTTTTAATTAGAAACAATCTTATTTTACATGTCAACCCCAGTTCCCTCTCTCTCCCATCCTCCCATGTCCCCCCATCCCATCCCCCATCCACTCCCCAGGGAGGGTGAGGCCTTCCATGAAGGATCATCAAAATCTATCGAGTCATTTGGGGCAGGGCCTAGGCCCTCTCCTGTGTATCTAGGCTAAGAGAGTATCCTTCCATGGGGACTCGGCTCCCAAAGTCCATTCGTGCATATGTTCCACTGTCAGAGGCCCCATAGACTGCCCAGGCCTCCTAGCTGACACCCACGTTCAGGGGGCCTGGTTTGGTCCTATGTTGGTTCCCCAGCTGTCAGACTGAGGTTCATGAGTTCCCACTTGCTTGTTGCTGGTACTCTTAAATGGTTTGTTGCATTTTATTTTCAGGAATGCTCTAGCAACTTTCCCCACTATTCCTGTCTGTTTTCTCTAGGATGACACCACCTGTGTTCCCCACTTGAGGTTATTATTCTAATAGGCATCTTAAGTTGTAACTTTGAAATAGTTTTCCAGAAAAAAGTTGAGGGGCAGTAGCAGCCTTTTTTATTCCTGTATTCACACATACCTAGTCTTACAGATGAGAGAGTAGAAGGTGAAGACTAGATGCCAGTGATACGTTGAGATGGCCTCATAGTACTCCTTTGTGATTGTGCTGTGGCCCCTAGCCTAGATGGAAAGGAGTTTGTTTTCATTTGTTTGATTTTTGGTTTTTCGAGACAGGGTTTCTCTGTGTAACAGCCCTGTCTGTACTGGAACTCTCTGTTGACTAGGCTGGCCTCAAACTCACAGAGATCCGCCTGCCTCTGTCTCCTGAGCACTTAAAGGTGTGTGCCACCACCTCCTGACTTACTGTACTGCTACCCTGGGATATTTATTCTTTGCTGTTGTTGTATTTTGGTGTTTTGTTCTATAAATTTTTGTGTGTATGTGTGCAGGTGTTTTGCCTACTTGTATGTCTGTGCCTGGTGTCCACAGAGGTCAGAAGAGGGCATCAGATCCCTTGGGACTGGAATTACAATGGCTGTAAGCTGCCATGTGGGTGTTGGAAATCAAATTCAGGACCTCTGGAAGAGCAGCCAGTGTTCTTAACTGCTGAGCCATCTCTCCAGCCCCCTTACATGTTTTCTTAGTGTTTTGTTTTTTGTTTGGGTTTGGGGGGCTTATTCACGGTAAGCCTTGAAGGCCTGATCCTTCTGTCTCCACCTCCCAAGTACTAGAATTATAGATGTGCCCAGCTTTCCATTCATCATTTATTCTGACAAGTCATACAAGTCATACACCTTCTAAGAACTATTTTTATGTCCTGCAGGTAGATGAGAAGGCTGGGACCCTTCCCTAGCTGAGCTCATAGAGTTGGACCTAGTCTCTCAGGATCCTAACTACAGCCTTCCCTGTCGTTCCTTGATCACTTAGTCCTGCTCTGACTCTTGCCTGCCTCTTCCTAGGCTTTAGAGGAAAAAGTTCGGACCACTGAGACACAGGTGCTTGTGGCATCTGCACAGAAGAAGCTGCTGGAGGAGAGACTAAAGCTTGTCTCTGAGTTGTGGGATGCTGGGATCAAGGTACAGGAGGCAATCCCCAGGGTGGCAGCAAACTTGGGAGTACTTGGCACAAACTAATAGAAATTTACATAGTGCCTCTTTCATTACTTATTGAGATGGAGCAAGGTACCTGCTGCACTCCTAACCCCACCCCTAAATATTCTCCCTGAGAGCAACAGAAGCCTTTGTTTTCCTCTTTGGTCATTTGCAGGCCGAGCTGCTCTACAAAAAGAACCCAAAGTTACTGAACCAGTTGCAGTACTGTGAGGAAACAGGCATCCCACTGGTAGCCATCATTGGTGAGCAGGAGCTGAAGGATGGTGTCATCAAGCTCCGCTCAGTGGCTAGCAGAGAAGAGGTAAGGAGGCAAGAAGGAAGGCTAAGGGACAAGGGGGCATCAGATGCTGGCCCAGGCCTGTTTGAGACCCGAGCCTCATATAGTACTAACTTATCATGAACCTTTAACTATAATCATGGCATTTAAGATCTCCATGATCCACATGCAAGTGTTTTACTAGGGGCATTATTTACCCTGGGGTGTCTAATTGGGTACATGTCCCAGTGAGCCAAACATGATAACTAGAAGTAGCCCATCAGTGAATAGCTGAGCTGAAGATGCTCATACCTTCTTCCTCCATCCTGGCCAGGTGGATGTCCGAAGAGAAGACCTTGTGGAGGAGATCAGAAGAAGAACAAATCAGCCCCTCTACGTCTGCTGAACCAAGCAGACTAGCAGAGGAAGCAGGATTGGCCTTATTTGAACTAAAACAAAACTGCATATGTACTTAAATAGTTTGCACATTTCTGATCCAGCAGAAGACTGAAGGGTGGTCAGAACAGAGGCTTTTTGTTTTTATTTGTATTTGTTATTATCGGTAATCACTGGCAAAAAAAAAAAAAAAAAAAGAAAAGAAAAGAAAAGAAAAAAAGGCCAGGTGCTACAGTTTCCTAGTCGGGAATAGGGAGGAGCAGTATAGGTCAGTATAGGTGGATTAATCAAGACTGACTCCTAAACTCCTGTATGAACCTGAGATGGCTTCTTGCAGAGCCACATACCAGATGAATGGATGCCTCCCTACAACCTGCCGCCAAAAAGTCCAATAAATGTCTCCCCCGCTAACGCCTGTCTGTGTCCATAATGCCTAGTGGTACCTTCCTCCTCAGGTCCTGAATCATTCAAACCACTTTAGCGACTGGTGTGAACGGGAGGACGCCTTTGCAAACCCACTGGTTAAAAGACACCCAGTGCGCTCGCCCGGTGTCCATCCTGCCCCGACTCAGCCCCACCCCCACCTCTGTTGATGGAGCTCCTCCCACACACGGTCCTAAGAGGGTTTCCAGATTTCCAGGGGCTCGCGCACGTGTAATGAATGCCTCCTGGAGAGGCTGGTCAGCTCTCAGAGCCAATGAGAGCTTGAGGGGGGCGTGGAGGGCAGGGAATCTTCCAGAGGCAGAAGCTCAAGGAAGTTCTAAAGAGTCTGGGAGAGCTAGAGGAGAGTTATGCAGTCGAAACGGGAATGCGAGGTAAGTAATTGAAAGCCTAAGGGGTCCTTGGACCCTCCGCCTGCAAAAGGGGCGGTTACAGTGACCCCAATACCTCGGGCGAGGTGGGACCCGGCCGGGGGGGCGCTATTCCAACCTACTTCTTTCCCCCAGCAATGGTGTGAGAGGGTGAATCCAGAGAACAAGGCAGCCCTGGAGGCGTGGGTAAGGGAGACTGGCATCCGCCTGGTGCAGGTCAACGGGCAAAGGAAGTATGGCGGGCCACCCCCAGGTATGGTAGCCCCACCCCCTGTGGCTCTACACCAGCCTTGGCCACTCTGGTGGGAAGGGCCCGTCCCTAGGCTCCAAAGTCAGAAAACCCAAACTACCTGACATAATCTCTAATTAGATTCGGGTATTTGTCTGTCTTCCCTTCCACTCTGGCCGTCGAGGATAGTACACCCACTCGGTGCCATCCTAGTTGTTTACGCAGTCCAGTCGCCCAATTTATGCTAACGACCGGGAGCCAGAGGGTTGTCGATATTTCTAGATGGCCTTCCTCCTTCCCCCACACCCCAGCTGCTTCTTGGGGCTTAGAAATAGAACCGTCTCAGTAGACGACAGAAGCCCTCCGTATCCTCTCCCTCCAGGCTGGGTGGGCAGCCCACCACCTTCAGGGTCCGAGGTGTTTATCGGACGACTACCCCAGGACGTGTATGAGCACCAGCTGATCCCACTCTTCCAGCGCGTGGGGCGCCTCTATGAGTTCCGCCTGATGATGACCTTCAGTGGCTTGAACCGCGGCTTTGCCTACGCGCGCTACAGCTCGCGGCGTGGTGCTCAGGCCGCGATTGCTACGCTACACAACCACCAGCTGCGTCCTTCTTGCCAGCTTCTGGTGTGCCGAAGCACCGAGAAGTGCGAGCTGACAGTAGACGGGCTGCCTCCGAGCTTGAACCGCCATATGCTACTGCTGGCCCTACAACCACTGGGTCCCTGTCTGCAGGAGACGTTGCTGCTACCCAGCCCGGGGTCGGCGCCCTCTCAGATTGCGCTGCTCAAGTTCAGCACGCACCGAGCCGCTGCCATGGCCAAAAAGGCCCTGGTAGAAGGTAGGGGGTGGAAGCTTGCGGGAGGGCGGCTGGCTACTTAAAAGCATATCCCTAAATCGTAAGAGTCCACCAACTGCCACCATACAATAGTGCTACAGCCACTAGTTACCTAAATTTAAGCTACCACTTATCTAAATTCCTATGCATTGTATTCTTTTTTTTTTTTTTTTTTTTTTTTTTTTTGAGACAGGGTTTCCCTGTATAGCCTTGGCTGCCCTGGAACTTGCTTTTGTAGACCAGGCTGTCGTCAAACTCACAGAAATCCACCTGCCTCTGCCTCCCCAAGTGCTGGGATTAAAAAGTGTACTGCACCACCACCGCCTGCCATTTTATCGTGTTTTAGTCCTCAATATTTCCAGGGAAAAAGATTAGAGTTGTACAAGAGTTCAGATGAGCCTGCCTATCTTTGTAGTGTCTGCTTCCTGAGTGAATTAAGCAGTGTTGTCTCCTGTTTCAGCTTTCATTGACCTGAAAGGCTAGCTATTTTTATGGTGATTAGATAAATAAAGCCTGAATGCCCTGTATTGCCCCAGGGATTACAAACAAATGCAATGAGGCTTGTGGAAGTCGTCACACCACCAGGAAGTAGAGAGGCATTAGACATAGCCTGTGGCTAGTCACTTCACAGGTCAACTTCTACATGTTTGGCTCCAGTCCCTGTACTTAGATCTGCCCTTTTCTCTTGCCTTTTTCTTGCAGGGCAGTCACGCCTTTGTGGAGAACAGGTCGCTGTGGAGTGGCTCAAGCCAGACCTGAAGCAGCACTTCCGCCAACAGCTTGCGGGCCCCTCACTGCGGTTCTTACGCCCAGAGGGCAGCCAAGTAGCCCAGAGCAGGGACAGGCTAGGGTCCCAAGGGGCTCGGGCTGCTCTGCAGCTGCTGTGTCAACGAATGAAGTTGGGCAGCCCAATGTTCCTTACCAAGTGTTTAGGTACAGGGCCTGCTGGCTGGCATCGCTTTTGGTACCAGGTTGTAATCCCTGGACACCCAGTGCCTTTTAGTGGCCTTATTTGGGTTGTGCTGGCCTCTGATTGGCAGGATGGGCATGAGGTGGCCAAGGATGCTGTGTCTGCACAGTTGCTGGAAATACTGAGTGAGTCTAGGACCAGCTTGTGGTCTCCTAGGGCTGAAGCAGGTACTATAGTTAAGCAGTAAACCCCCACCCCACACCCACACACACACACAGGCAGCCTAAATGGGTAGGCAGAACCTGTGTCAAACCCCAGCCCAGCAGGCCTGGGCAGTAACTACTGGGTCGAAAAGGGACAGGGGCCTGGTGATAGCCTCTTTGCTGAGGCAGGACCCTGTCATGCCTAAGTGCTACTTTAGTTGTGAGGAAACTTGCCCTTCCCCATTGAACCCAGGATCTGATTTGACCTCTGACGTAATATCTTTGGTCATTTCCCAGTTTGACAAATAATTCATCATACCCACTCAAGAGCTTACTATGAATCTTTTGTTTTTATTTGGAGAACTGGCTGAGCCAAAGGGCCCTTTTTTTTTTCTATGCTGGTTGTATTTATATTAAACCCCTGGTTGTTACAGATGTGTCTGTCTGTGCTGTCTTGTCATCACAGTTTAACAACAATGGTAGGGACATTGGGGTGGTGGCGGCACACGCCTTTAATCCCAGCACTCAGGAAGCAGAGGCAGGTGGATCTCTGAGTTTGAGACCAACCTGATCTACAAGAGCTAATTCCAGGACAGCCTCTAAAGCCACAGAGAAACCCTGTCTCATAAAACAACAAAAAAAACAATAATGGTAGGGTAAGTAGGCCCACTTTGGGGCCATGAGTTCATACAATAGAGTACTGGAAATTCCCGTTTGCGGACTTGGGATTTAACTTGGTGGTAGAGCTAAGCTTATATTCAAGGTTGTAGATTCAATCTACAGCATCAAAAAACACATTTCTTTAGGGGCTGTCCCAGAAAACAGTTCCTTGTCTTGACATTCTCCTCATGCCCTCAGTCACTGTCATCATCGCTTTCCTTCACCACCTCCTCTGGAGCCTTGGCATCCTCTCCATCTTCTCTCAACCCTGCAAAGAAGTCATCAGTGCTCCAGGCCTTACTGCTCAGGGCACGAAGTGGCCCTCCCTTTTTCTTGCGGCGTCGATAGTCATCCACAACCACAGTTCGAAGCTGAGTCATGTTCCAAAATTTGAGTCGCTGGTCATGGCCACTACTGGCCAAAAATTGGCCACAATGGGATAGGGCTAGCTCCTCCACAGGCTCCCCAGCATGCAGGCCCACGGTGCCTACCACTCGGTTTGGCAGGATGTTCACAGCCCTGAGGAGAGAAGAGTGTTAGGAACTGAGCAGCTGGGCTTGTACTCCCTGTGCTCCAGGGCTGCTTTGGCTTCCCTTACCTAATGATTCCATCCGTGGAGCCAGTGCACAGCAGATTCTCAGTAACTGGAACCATGCAGTCAATGGACTCTGCTCTCAGTGCGAAGCGGTCACTTGTAGCCCCAAAACCGTTCCAATTGAAAAGGTAGATGGTACCTTCACTAGATCCACAGGCCACCTTCTTCCCGTACTGCAGGTTAATAAACCGTATTTGTGGAGCCACTTGAGAATGAACCCCCTAGCATATATACCCCATCCCGTCATACCCAGCTGTACTTTCATAAGGGTGACGGAAGTTAGATCGCCTGACTGAGGCTCTGAGAGTAACTCAAATCTGCGTCTCTTGATGTTGAAGACACCAAGGCAGCCATCCCCACTGTAGAGAACAAACAGATTGAATAGCAAGTTCCACTTGAAGACAGTAATATAATGTGGGTACCTACATCACCAAGTAGTCTAGAAGGAGAAAAAGAGCAGGGAGGCAGGTGTAGGGTGGTACCTGGCTGTCAGCAGCAGCTTTTTGGCAGGGTCCAGGGCCATGTCAGCAATGTACTCCTCATGCTGCCGCATGTCCATTAGAGGGCCCTCCTTCCGCTGGTCCCAGAGCCGGATACCACCTGTGTCATCCCCAGTGACTAGAACATTCTCATCCACGAGCAGCAGACTGTTAATGGGGGCACTGGAGAAACAATATGAATTTGTTCTAATAGACACCTCTCAGTCCTTACCCCTTACCAGGTGGCATGTATACCTAATTAATTTTCCTTACCTGTGAGCCTTAGAAATTCGTATTTCCAGCTGTCCCTGTTCAACATCTAATACATGGATTGCTTTGTCCTTAGAGACAGTAACAAGCTCTAGGGGGAAAAGGCCCAGCTTATGGTATTGCTCATTGCCCTCTGCCCTCTACCATATGGCTGGTTGCCTTCCCTAGCACTTACTCTGCCCATCCTCTGAGAAGACAACAGCTCTGCAGGACTTGAGGTGGTGTCCTGAGGACCAAAGTTCCTTGGTTTCTCCCTCCTGACAAGAGTATGAATAGCTGAGGAAAGGAAGAGAGTGAATGACTCCATACCACACCTGAAACACATGGAGCACAAAAACCAACCATCCCATGTGGTTAGGGTACTTCCAAGACCGAAGAGCTTACCATTCTGTTTATCAATTTTCTTTGTAGA